CAATGAAGCGAAATGAAGTTCCATACAAACAACCAGCTTCATCAATCGCCCGCCACCTGCTGGCTGACAACCACTGTGTAGACCGCGTGCGCGCGTTCCGTGTTATCTATGCATCAATGCTGAGGCCGTGACTATCAAACAAATTGGCCCAACTGTGTGTTCATAAAGACACATTTGTGACCCTGGCCTTGCCGTGGTAGCAGGCTGGGATCAGATGACAAGGTGACATGAGTGTCGGTGTGTTCAGTTTGGTCAATTTATCATTGTAACTGCGCTCCTTTCATGATGCTATAAATTCGCACGTCTGTAGTACGCACTTGAAAATATGCAGAGAAATTTTTCCGGAATTAAATCGTGTGGAACTCTTGTATTAACTTTTCTGCCAAAAGTTTCCTCGGGAACTAATTGTTTCAATTATCTCCTGTTACAATTATGAATTGGTCTACCGGATCGGGGAAGCTACGGTGGCTGCTGACGCTTTATCGCGTACATGTTCGTCACAGTTACATACCGTGACACTCCAGGAGCTGCATAACAACCTGTGTCACCCAGAAGTCACTAGAATGTTCCATCTGATTGGTTCATGGAATCTACCTTTCTCAGATGATGAAGTAAAATCAATGACCTCCCGCTGCAGCGAAGGTGCCGAATTGAAACCCCGTTTTTATAAGCCATTGGAAACGCAATAAGGCGATGCACCTTTTCAAAGATTAAACATAGTTTTCAAGGATCCTTTACCCCCAACAACAACAACACAACAACAACAACAAATATGTTCATCATTATCATGAATTTTCTAGATTTCCATTTGCTTTTGCATATAGTGACATGACGGCCCCAACAGTGATTAATTGTTTAACCCAACATTTTTCTACCTTCGGTATGCCGCTTTAGATCCATTCTGATCACGGTTCATCCTTCATGTCCCAATAAGTGAGATCTTTTCTTACGTAAAAAGGCATCGCGGTCAATCGGACGATGCCGTAGAACCTCCAATGTAATGGACAAGTGGAGCGGATTAAAGGCATCATCTGGAAATCGATTCCTCTTGCACTAAGCCCTAGGGCCTAGCAATAGCCCAGTGAGAAAGCACTTCGATGGATGCACTACCTTTAATTCGTTCTCTTCTTTGCACAGCCACAAACGTCACTTCTCATGAAAGACTTTTCTGTTACAACCGTAAATCGACCTCAGGGGTCTCGCTACCGAGTTGGCTGAATGTGCCAGGACCCGTCTAGCTGCGCCGTAATGTTAGCCCTTTAAAATAGGAGCCGTTAGTGGATGAGGTTGAACTATTGGACTGCAATCCCCGCTACGATGACATTCGATTTCGCGAAGGAAAGGAAGATGGCTGTGTCCCTGCAAAACTCGGCACCCTCAGGACTAGGACAATCCAGTAATTCACCTACTGCTTATCCCACAGACCCCACTCCCAACGAAATAACGATTCGCATGTCACGGACACCCATGTACCCTAGATTACCCCCTTCTCCACCTGATCCTTCCCATATTTACGAGCAACAACAAAGAAAGCGCGCTTACTGATTGAGTAGCCGTGAGATGTAGAAATATCCACTTGCTCCTTTATTCACAAACACGAGGTCGGAGAGAATTACATATAACACACAGACATGAAATATAACCCACACTCCTTTTCGCAATATTATTTACTACAAACTTCCTATAGTTCTTTTCAGTCTATTCACTCAAACTAAACTCCTTCTCACTTGGTAGGTTACTACCTTGCCTATTCATATAACCCAGTTGATGAAGGGGCAAAGTGGTACGAATCAATTGATTCTAAGTCATGACAAAACTAAAGATGAGTGCAAGACAGGCTAAATAAGTGATTGGATACCCTACGACATGATTTGCTCAAAAACCGGCGATGCTCTAGCAAACGATCTCTTTTCTGTCAGACTTTCATTCAGAAGCAGAAAATACCTTCCTTCTTACTGTTTTTACGTTGAAGTTTATAAACATTTTTTCAAACTTGTCATATTTCCTTGCGGATGGAAGCACCGCATAAAGACACTCCGGTCGTAACCCACTGACGGATGGGCTAGTCTCACCCTGCTAAAGTGCACATTCGTAGTCGGCCATTGCGTCTCTGTGACAGGCACAAAATCTATCACACGAGTTGTGTGCGAATGATCGATTTCGCTTGAGGATCGGAAACCACACAATTTATTTGTTTATTTATACTTTTCTCGACAATCCATATGAAATGGGACATCCAACCCAGATGGGAACGAGGACCGATATTGAGTGTATCGGTTACGCCACAGTGTTTATTGTCAATATCGAAAATTAGTTCTATAAGTCACCAATTCTAATTCATCGCAAGCACCACTTGTTACACGAGGTTTATGATTGTAAAGGAATATATGCAGTTCGAAAGCCTTTTAAATTGGCTACCACGTTCAACTTGCTTAACTGATCACTTTCTGACACCTGTGCGCTAAAAAATGCGATTGGAAAACGGATAGACACAAGAAGATAAGAACATTCCACTCACGAAGTTTCGTTGTTACCAAACGAGAGAGAACTACTGAACATAAATATACTCCAGAAAATTAGTAAACGACCCTATGTAGCCATGAATTACTTGCTCTTAGTTGCCGCTGTAAAATCGTGATCGATTTTGCAATATCCCTAGAACCGTTGAAGTCATATTAAGCATGCATCTTTGGCGCAATGATTCTGTGGGTTACACGAAACCCTCGGCTAAAGTGAAGGACAAGTTGAAACCGAGTGAAACTTTAGGCCTCCTTGGACTGCATAGATAGCTATTAATGAGGCTGCCTGGGAATAGATTGAAACACTAAGGTAATACTTACGACAAGGCATGAGAAGAGGCGACGAAATACTCTGCTTATTGAAGGACAACCACTCGGTGATCGTGCCTCCAGCAGTGACAAATGTTCTCCAGTGTGAATACATCAAAAAGCCGGTTAGTTCTGGCTTATTTACGTTCATTGTTTTTGTTTATCTCTGTTGAAACGACCTTTTTGTCCGGGAAACAAACTTGATGTATATGCTCTTGTTTTATACCTTTGATGGCCACATTCAGGAGGCGAAAACAACTGTTCTATTTGATGTTGCATACACTACAAGGGCTGCACAGTGGATTGACAAAGGACACAGCGACTAATACCATCCCAGCGTACATCATAGTTTCTGCTCAGTTAGTCCCATGTCTTTTAACCTCGAACAAAGACTACTTCGTTTCTTGCTTGAATGAACCAGTTTTGCTATCGGAATGTTGTGACACGTCTACATGCTTGCTGGAACAACCTGAAATTTAGTGGTTAGTTGGTAAAACGGTTTGTGTCGACGAAAGTGATTTGTCCCAGAATTATGGCGATGCGTACATATATCAAGCATGCCTGCACCGTGTAATCAGTGCTCCGCAACCAGTGGTTAGCCGGCATCTTTAACCAATGGTACAGCCAGCTTCTTATTGATTGGTTGAACCTAACGTGAAGATCTCGCATCAGCTTCCGAATCAAATAGTCCTCCACATGCCAGGAATGGTACCAGGCTGCAGTTTCAACCTGTTGGGCATCATCAGTAGTGCGCATTCACTGAACCCATCAGAATTTGAATCCTGTTCTCTGTGATAGTGCCTAGGGACAGATTGGAACGCTCTGAGGGAACACTTTTAGTAATCCATCAGAAGTAGTGAGGAAATACTGCGTATTGAAGTACAACGACTCAGCAATCGCGTCTCCAGCTATAACAATTGCTTCCAAGACCTGTACAGCGACAAGCTGAAGCACAGAAGTAATTCAAGTACTAGTTGGCAGAAATGCAATCCGTTTTCATTGAAGGGTGCTTTGACCTTGAGAAATCCGACGACTATTGTATGCACACTCAAGACAGGTTCGTGCTGAGTGAAACGTAAGTAGCAGACGACACCGGTCGAGAGGTGGTAGGTTCAAAGATGGTCGCGCTAACAAATCTAAAGACCAATGAACGACAGATTAGGGAAATATTGCATCCCTGTCGATCCAAGCATAGGCATTCAAACCACCTGTGGTTGTTCCGAGTCAGAGATGATCAAGTATGGATATCACCCCAGCCCCCTCCCCAAGAACAGTAGATGACACTGCTGTTAATTTCTCTGAAGGGTTCAGTAGTTGTGTGATGGTGGACCGCGATACGGAGTGGTGCAGTTGTTGGAACATTCCGGACGACGCACGCACGAACTCGAGAACATTGTGTTCGGTAGTTGGTAGCAGACGAGCGGCTTCGTCGTACAAACCCGCAACAGTATGCCCCCTGTGTGTATATTCGTCAGACACCTTCATGCCAAAGTGTTCAGCAACCACCTATGACTGAAGGCAAACTAATTTGCGCTGATCGCGATCAGCAATTGTAGGTCCACTGTTAATATACTTTAAAATTGGGCTACTTGTGAGTAATATACAAACTATGGAAATAAAATGGTGTTCACACCCTAGCCAAGATGCAATTGAGACGCCTTGGCGGTCGTACACTTCTGTCCAGTTCTCTTTACACTCGAAGCTCCCGATTAGTTTGATTTCAGCTATTTTAAGTGCACGAGCACGCAACATCATGCGCTATCAAACGATGACAGAGAGAAGCTGGCGCGAAAGCTGAGTCCTTGGTGGTGCTCACTCCAAGCGTTCCACGACCAATCCCTTCTGTTTACACTCCAGGTGAGAACAGCGAACACTTTGTCTGCCAGTAGACAGCTTTGCCAACAGGTCGACGAGATGTACAAATACCGCATGTTTATGGACAGAGTATCCAACAGTTGGATGCATCGTGTCACCATAATTTGAGCAGCCCTCTACAATTCGATGACTCACAGCTTATCCGAAGGTGGTTTCGTACTCCGAGGTAGAAATCTACGACCAATTTCGTCTTCCAGTCAACTGGCAAGCTGACTTAAGCAGTCAAAGCCACAGTGGTGTCTAGATTGTCGCGCTAATAAGCTGCTGGGACGAACCAGTTAAAACTATACTTGTCAATCACAAGCTCCGTTCAGTTAAGAGAAGCGCGAGGCCCGGTATTGAGGTTATGGTGGAGACAGAGGCAAGGTAGTGCACATCTACTTTACCGAGGAACTCACCGAAAGATCCTTGTCGGCTGAGCGAAGGCATGAAGAGGAGACTTTTCACCGTGCTCAAATAAGAGGTGGCAAGATCTTTATAGAATTTCTGTACTATTGGAGCTCTCCTATCCACCATCCTTTCCATCATGTAGCGTATACACTGAGAGAGGGGAAATGTAAAAAAGTACAAGAGCGCGTGCGACGCGATGTTTACTGTGATCAAGTCCAAGGGTTTCTGAATGTAATTACTGGGAAAAGACTGCATCAGGATGTTTACAACTCTGTTCAGTTACCAGTATGATATACAGTGTGGAAAATAAAGCGATGAACTGGCGGTCTGAAGAGAAGAGGAAAGTGTCGATATCAGCCATATTTCAGAGGTTTTTACTGATAACCTGTTATAGGTTTACTTAACTAGACTGATGGTACAAGATCGTTGAAGATGAGTCTTTTAAAGGTGGGTTTAGGGAAACAACGACCTGTAGTATCTCTTAACCGCTATTTGTGCGATGATGCAATTACGCAGAAATCCTGTTCGTAAATTGCCTAGAGACACTAAGCAACATCTGTACCCTTGTGCAAACTGAGATCATTACAGCAAGTCTGCGTATCATAAAAGTGGAATTGCACTGGCCCTAGTGCACAGATGGTGACTCAAACAGACTACCATAGCATCAGCCGTTGAAAGAACGGTCATGTGGATCACGGTGCAGCCGAAAACGTCTTGGTCTAGTCTCGGTCTTCTTTTACACATTTGGATGGTTTCCGTGTTATTCTCTTTGATCAATGCACTTCGCTACCGACGGTTTCGTCCTTGCCTTAATGGTTGCCCGCTAACGTCATGATCACTAGGCTATTGACCACCGCGAAGAGCGGTTGACCCAGCATCGAGAAGCCGACAGAATAGTGGACTTCGGAGGACACGCAAAATAAAGACGATGAAAGTGAGGAACCGCTACTGGTCATTCTGCTCCGAGTAGCGGTAGGCCCAGTTCTTTGTACATTGGAACCAAACGATGAGACAAAAATCGGGAATTAATGTGATATTTTACACAAATCCGGGAGTACACTTATAGAAAATGTGAACATCATATATCACTGTTAAGCGATGAGAATAATCAGGATTTCTGGTAAACAGATGAAAAAGATGGTCAATAGCATAAAGTTGAATTATATCGTTACATATGGTCTTTTCCAAATACCAAACATTATGAACTCCAAATCGCACACTTACCAACAGAGTCTGATCCCTGAGTTGATATTCTTGATCGCAGCTTTGATTGATCAGCTTTGGAACAAGTTCTATGAAACACAACGCGTGCTCCGAGTAGCTTTGAATTCTGAAGCAGGATGAATAGGAAGCATTGAATCGGTGTAGTGAGAATATATAGGTCAAAATTACGTACCAAACGGCGCAAGCAACTAGGGGTGAATCAAAGAAAAACTTGAATTCTCTCAATGAATAGCGGGGAGCGTAATGATTATTGCGATTGGGAAGCATTGCAGTCTACTCAGCTAGATATGAGTTGTATGCAAACTGTTCTGCATTCGCTCGCATGCCGCTTGGTCGCTGGAGCTCACTTACCAATGGTAAGCTGGGTCTGATGTTGGGATGCATGCTGGTATCAGGTCACTTACTAGAATCGTGGGATGAAGCTCCGTGCGAGGAATATAGATTCGCACATTGTGCATAATCGGTTGCATTCAGTAGGTACAGTAGCCCGAGCGTAAGACGAGTTGTTTGTTGGAGTTCAAGATCAGATGAGGCTGGTTGAATGAATGGCGCCACGTGGTCACTAGCTGGAAGGCATTGATTTCGAGGGAAAACATCGTCGACTCAACCGCTGGAGCCGATCCCAATATGCACTCTGCTACAAGTTTCCTGCATGATTGCACAGTTAAGATGACCGAATTGGGAGTTGAACCCTGGGCGCAGGGATTGTCGGTACACACCAGCACCACTATAACACCAAGCATGCGGCCCGTGTCACACACGAAAAGAAATACGGGATCGGTCTAGCCGGTGTGGTTCCCGTGTCTTGCAACCGGTCGATGCTGCTCTCGACCTCGTTGCCTTGAGATTCGTACACCCGAACACATGGGCCAAGACGTATCCGTGGTTCGCACGGAAAAATATGATCACCTCGAGTATCCGGAAATGGGATCCTCGCCGCAATTGTGCACACATATTTCAATTGTGTATAGGAACCAAGATGAAATATATTGAAACCGAACAATCAGTTTAGAGTAAAGATTATTTGAGCAGGTCACAATATACACCCGTAAAGCTAATTTGGACGATATGCCTCACAGCCTAGTAAGTACTGCCATGATGCCAAAAAGGTGGTCGTATTGGATGAGATTGTGCGATGTTTCGTCTATCCAAAACCAAAATAACCAGTAGATTGTGCGAATATCATGCGACTTTCTACTGTGCACTTGTTAGAGTTAGTAGAGACAGTTGTTGTGAATCTAGAAGAAGATGATTCTTCAGAGACGACGTTAAATTGCAGGTGCCTTGTTGAAAATGTGTGGGCAATCACAGGTTGAATCCACGGCTCCGGTACACTCAGTGCACGAGAGTACTAATACACTTCATTTATCATAACCCAGTCCATAGAGGATAGGATGAGAGCGGGCTAAGGACGATGATGTGGCAAATGTTCACTTCTTATGAGTTCTTTGATTCCAGGCTTCCTGAGCTTGACATCCAACCAATTTGCTACAATTTTGGTTGGTAGCAGAATAACACTTGACATGTGACGCTGAGTATTCACCACGAATGTGCGGCGCAGAATGCACACGCCCATAGCGCGACAGGACTGAATTTAAACGTGGCGCTATGGGCTGCGCACATCCTTGATTCACTGAGCCACGCCGAGTGGCACTTTCAGTGTGCTCTCAGAGTAACCCGATGCCATGGTTATGTAGCAAACCAACTCAGCCACAATATTCCCTCCAGGAGTTAGGGAGAGGTCGATGTCTTTGTTCCTCCAAACTCATCCACAGGATACAAATGTCATGGTTAGAAGTTCAGAGTCCATATGGCGTAGAACACGAGTGCGACGCAGGGTATATGATGGTGGGAGAGCACCGCTTAGTGCGCAGTGGTTCGCTACCGCTCACCTCAAATCAGTCGGACTGTGGTCAAAACGGTGAGGGTTAGTCAGCTTTTTACCTGCCGTTAAACGTTATCACAGACGCCAAACACACTAAAGAGGTAACGGCATACAAATTATTCAAACCATTACAAGACTGCAAACAACCGGCCTCAGGTTGATCACAATGGGGCTCTGCAAGCGCACATCCAAGTTGCACATGGTCCAGTTTGCATAATGCAGTGATTCCCAACCTGCAGGTAATTGCCTCAAAAGAATAAACTCGGATTTTACGGGGAGTAAAGAAGAGTACAAGGACTGTGTCATCGCACAGTCACGAAATAAAATTAGCACCAAACTCAGCTGTATCAAATCATCTAACTGATTACCTATTTACTAGTGACCGGTCATTTGTGATTGCTTAGCGGATTAGACCATTTCAGGCAATGTCATGACTTAAAATACCAATACAAGCTTGTGACGCAGCGCGGCTAAATGGCGCGTCTATCGCCTCGCCCACCAATCGTCGTTCATTCGAATCACGATTGTTCGCCGCGCATGTGAGGTTGATGTCGCTGTTTTCGACAAGTTCTGAACGTGTAATGACTGGTATAGACGGGAAGCAAAATCAGTTGAGTGAACTAATTCTATGACTTTAACGTCGATAATATTGAGTTTATTTGCAGTTGTTCACAAAAAACGTTATCTGTGTGTTTCCCTTATTGGAGTGCTTCAAATTAAGCCTAAAATTTACTTCTCATAATTTAAAGCAAAAGAAATAATAGCCATTAGTTAATTTCCTTCTTCAAACTAAAATCTCCGGACGTATTTATGTATACTGAAACTCCTTTGCGCGTAATAGCCATGATAAAGTCGAGAACCACTAGCCTAATAGGTCAGACTATTGGTTCAAAGGCTGCGGGTCCAGTCCACTGGGAAAACTTCCATTAACCTCGCTGCCTTGTGAGTTGGACTGTTGAGTCAAAGCATATCAGTAAAGCAACATGTACAAAACCGGTCTCTTAATAGCTAGTCGGTTATTATAAGTCCACAGGACCCAATGCTCTTTTTTCATCTCGTCTTTCTCCTGTTAATAAGCAAAATTGATACTGACAGCAGCTAATAGCAGTGATGCATCGAACTCGTCCTCCACATCAGTTCCTTCAACCTCCACAATTTAAGACATAACGGTAATCGGGAAATGCTGATCCTCACTCTTCCTTAGGACAAGAAGGGTCCACCAGGGTTGTCCCATATCTCAGTTCCTCTAAATTACTGCTATCAAAATTTGAACAATGCGGTAAGAAAATGAGCTATCAAAATTGTCATAAATGACTCTGTCATCTCAGGCTGTTTTGAAATGGAACCTCATTCAAGTGACTGACTGGTAAACCTTGGGTATGCGGACGACATAGCTCTCCTTGTATCCGACGCAATGGCTGCGGAAACGCAATTGAATAGACGGAGGCTTCGGCATGTGCCTTACACCTTCAAAGTGCAAACGGTTGTTGCAGGACTGGACCAATACGTCACCGGTTTCAGCCATCAGGGCACAGCCATTGGAAGTGGTGGATCGGTTCACCACTGGTGATCACGTCGCTGAAGAAGTTAATTCACATATCAGCAAAGCCCGCGCGGCATTCCAAAGAGTTAACCGTCCATGGAGAAAATGAGATATCAGGCTGTCAGGGTGTATAACGTTTCGATAAGGTCTGTGTTACCGTATGGATCAGAGAGGTGGCCGGTTCTCAGTTAAGACGTTAAACCATTAGCCGTTTGGATCATCGGCGCTCACACAGTATCCCTCACATCAGGTGGGAACACCGGTTGATCAGCGCCGAGGTCCGCCAGTTGGTCTTTGGTAATAAGTCTTCTGATGCCCCACACATGTTTGCTAGAGCTCAACCGCTTACTTTGACTCGCACATGTCCTCCGTATGCTCGTTGACCGGTTTCCTCGGCCTGCATTATACGCCGTCATGGCATGAAGTTGAATGAAACCGCTAGGTGGCCACCCGATGAGGTGGCACAAAAACGTGAAGAAACCGACCGAGAGACGTGGTCGGCTTAGTGCATGTCAACTTCGTTGTTGGGGGCCTTGGGATGGGCCAGATCAATGGTTGAAGACTTCAACGGATATGCCACAGTCGCAAAATAGGTGGAACTCTAGCATTCTGCTTCTTAACTCCAGTGGTTACTCACGCATCAGGATTAATCTTAGTCATGGTTCCTTAACTTCCGTTACTTTGTATTTTATCCTCAAACTACTCTATTTTCCACACCACTGTGAATTAGTGTTGTCCTGGTGATACGAATAGTGGCAATCGGCTCACATTTGTTTAATTGGACTGCATTGAACACTCCCGCACAGGCAGTTCACTAGCTGCGGCTCTTCACATGTGTTAAGTCCCCAAACTGGTCCCCCACTCTGTTAATGCGGGACAAAGGGTCCCTCCTTCGGGTGTGAGGTAGAGCTCACTAAATGGCCAATAGTAGATGCTGATCGATCACAAAATGTCTCACTTGGTCACATGGGTGTGAACGACCGGTATGCGTGTATCTGGGTACATATGTACTTGCCAGTGTCGTCCATCATGAAAATGCTGGATGGTGCAGATGGTTGGGTTGGAGTCAACCTACGGCACGCCACAGGGCAAGTTCACTGTCCGACACATAAGGTGTGTCGGGCTGGTTGGAACGGCAGAATCGTGGTTGTGTTGGCGCAGGCGTAACTGACCTGAGCAAGGAATGTACAATAGGTGCTTAGTGTTATCCCATCTAATGACAAAAGGGTTACTGGCAACGCTTTTTTAGACTGAAATTTTCCTTCCAACAACCTACCTTAGCGAAATAGGCACTCCTTACAATTAGTCCTTGCAAATATGAAACGTGACGTCTTGAGAAAGGAGTCTTGAAAATCTATGTCGACTGAAGACTATTCGCTGCCACAGAGCCTATTCTCCCGTCGCAGTATTGATCGCCGTTGCAGGAAATAAGTGTGGTTACGCTGCCCAATTTGTTTCAGGCGGGACCATGACGTTCATTACAACATATTCACTGTTGAGGCAATACTCTATTAGCACGGAACAGAGAAGCTGCATTGTTAGGCAATATCTAATTTTCGCGGATACTGTGAAGCACGTATTGCACAAAGCGCGAAGCTCAATGGCTCGAAAAAATGAATGACAAATTGTGGGAGGGGAAAGCGTGCTTGTGAAATACAGCGTGATAAGAGAAGGCACCTTCTGCGGCTGCTAACTTGACTTCTGTGTTTCCAAAGGTCGTTAATCGAAATAATTATTTCAGATGCTGCTGAAAACACTACTACCTTATAATAATCCGACTTAAAGTGCTTTATGATATCTGACGTGCCACCGGGAGCCATAGAAAAGTCGGATTTGCGTTTGTCAAACGGAACATGTGAATGGTTGTCACGTGTTGCCTTCTTAATGAACGAAAAATCGCTCTCCATTAGCGCCTCATCACGAAGCATAGCCAAATCAGACCGCGGAAAGTAACGGTGTTGATAGCACCTAAGGAAAATGTATACCTCGAGCTCCCATTTAAAGGTAACACCGCTTCAACGAGTGCAACCAAGCGCTTAATCTCCGTCACTCATAGAACCTACTGCTCTGGAGATGCTGTGGTGATCAACAGAACCCGGCAATTGTCGCTACTTTCAGTAAGGGAAGTGGAAACCATCAGCTGCAAATTACACTGTGCTGACCAATTTGATTATACCTGCGGCGTCAGATAAACAGACAAGAACGGGTGTTTTGAATTCCAGAGTGAAGGAACACCTGATCAAATGGGTTCAAAGTGAGGCCAACCATCCCTCGCCCAATATTCCTTGTGCACACAGACCGCCAGCCTCGTCGATAAGCAGACATGTTTTACTGACCCGTTATCGGATGGACCTCGGCTCCGCAGCTCGGAGATTACGTCATCCCAATCCACGCTTCTTGCGGTTCGCCGAGGCTGCGACTAAAAGCCAGCTAAGACCTACCCTGTGTGTGTATGTGTGTGTGTGGCGGGAGAGCCTATGGTGCGCTGAGGCTGGTGGTGGCTAGATCCTGACAGATGGTCTACCCACTGCTGCTACTGCTGCGCCATAGTCTCATGTCCTGGGCGCCTCCACGTGGCGACCGCTGGGTGGGAGTTGGGTTTCGCCCTTCTCCCTGCTAAGATCCAGGACACCAACCCGCATGAGTCGGCTAACTGACCATGTGCTAGACCCGCTGCCTTTCGGGCGTATATTTAATCGAAGGCTTTGGCTGAGGACCCGAGTCGTTCTCCTGTCAGGATTGGGCGCCCTGGCAGCATCCTAGTCCATCCTCTCCGGAGGTTAGGAAGTGGTCGATGGCCCACTTCCCGTAAAACCTAGCCATGGGAGACAACAGGTTTACGGGTTATAATCTCACAGCTCGATTGGCGTAGAGCACGAGGGCCACGCATTGTCTCTGACGGTGGGAGGACACCTCCGGGTGTTCAATGGTTTGCTACTGCCCGCCTCAAGCCAGGCAGCCCCTGGTCAAATTGGTGCAAACCCGCCAAAAACCCACCTGCGTCTGGCCGTGGTCGCAGGTGCGTATCCAATTACGGTCGCAAAACATATGATAATTGTTCCAGAACCTCAAAGACTGCGTGTGACGGTCGTCAAGCAGATCCCAATCTGTCTCTGCAATCACATTCCCGAGCTGGATCTGCTCTCCACTGCCTTGTGGGTCAGGCTATTGAGCCAAAGGCTCCGGGCGGAGTCCCTCAAGTAAACCTCCAAATCACCCACTGCCTTGTGGGTCAGGCTATTGAGCCAAAGGTTCCGGGTGGAGTCCCTCAAGCAAACCTCCAAATCACCCACTGCCTTGTGGGTCAGGCTATTGAGCCAAAGGTTCCGGGTGGAGTCCCTCAAGCAAACCTCCGAAGCACAACGACCACCTCGCATGCGATTGCCCACCAATGCAATCGTATGCCTGCGCGCAAAGCACTCAGCATCGGGTGCTGGAACGTGCGCACACTACTGGACCGGAACTGCAGCGAGCTCCCGGAGCGACGCACTGTACTGGTCGCAATGGAGCTGGCGCGGTACCACATCGATATTGCGGCGCTCAGTGAGACTCGGCTCGCTGAGCAAGGTAAGTTACATGAAGCAGGTGCTGGCTACACATTCTACTGGGTGGGCAATGCCGTCTCAGCACCACGTGAACATGGGGTCGGATTTGCAATATCCGATTGCCTCCATGGCCAGCTGGCGGGTGAACCAACGGGCATCAGCGCGCGACTGATGACTGTTCGCCTACGACTCGGAAGAGGTAAGTTTGCTACTTTTATAAGCAAGTACGGTCCGACCATGTGTTATCCTGATGACACGCGTGATCAGTTCTACACTGAGGTATCCTCCGTGATACGGACTGTGCCGAGGAGCGACCGACTATTTCTGCTGGGTGATTTCAACGCGCGCGTTGGGCGTGATGCATCAGCGTGGACAGATTTTATCGGTGCGCATGGCATTGGTTCAGCGAATGCGAACGGTGACAGGCTGCTCTCACTGTGTGTCACTCACGGCCTGACGATCACGAACACTCGGTTTGCACTGAGTGCGAGTGATATAGCAACTTGGACGCACCCTCGATGTGGTCACGCTCACCTGCTCGACTATGTCATCGTACGTCAGCGTGATATGCGTGAAGTGCGCATGACACGTGTACTGCGTGGAGCTGAGTGTGGCACTGATCACAAGTTGGTGCGGACCAAACTGTACATATATTTTCGTAAATCTATGTATTGCACTCCCGCCGTGAATTGGCGTAAATTTAACATTCTCCCCCTCGGTACTGTGGCGAAACGTACTGAGCTGGAGAAGGCGATGGTTGCACGCCTGTGTGGTGATGTGGACTGTATAGCCACAGTGGGCGACCTGTGGCACCACATTCGCGACCAGGTGACAGCTGCTGCCGAGGAGACCGTCGGGCGCGCAAACTGTAAACGGCCTGATTGGTTTGATGACAACAATGTGACGATTGGCGCATTGGTGTCAGAGAAGAATGCAGCATTTGCTGCACATGTTGCAGACCCCATTGATTTGGGAAAGAGTAGTCAGTTTCGCAAACTTCGACGGCGACTGACCCGAGAGCTCCGTCGCATTAAAAATGCATGGTGGACGGAGAAAGCGAAGCAGACGGAATGCTACGCCAAACGCCGTCAACACAAGGAATTCTTTGACTCCTTGAAGGCGGTGTATGGACCGAGATTGGTGCCACTGAGGACACTGATCGATGGCAGATCAGGCGCTACCTGCACCCAGACTGCAGACATAATGCAGGTCTGGCGGAAACACTTTGTCTCTTGAACAACCGTTCAGAGATCTACTGGCCTACATTGAACGGCCTGAAGCAGCACGATGTGAAGGCGGATCTGGCGGATACGTCGACCACTGGATGAGACGCAGAGAGCACTTGCTCAGCTGCGAAACGGCAAATGTGCCAGAAGTGACGGGATCCCACCTGAAGTATTGAAACACGGTGGACCCGCGTTGTTAACTGCGCTGCACCACTTGGTGCAACGCGTGTGGATGAGGAGGAAGTGCCTGCTGAGCTGAAGGATG